ACACATAATAAGTTTTTTATAGGAAACTGCATTAGCGAATTTTATGCGAAGATTATTGTATAAACTTTCGCCTTAATATATAATATACATGAATTGGATAATAATCTAAATTATCTCTAGATATGTGTGATAAATACATTCTAGATATACGTAGAATAAAGTTTCTTTGATGTATAATCTCTCTTTAACTTTTAACTCTAAACTCTTCGAGATGATGCATCAATGCTAGATTACTTGCTTGTTGCATGACAAATTAATTCAACTCACCTATTTGAATAACTGAATTAATTTAGTTATAATATTCTGCGCTATATACAACAGTAGAAAAAAATCGCACGGCACGCGAGCTGCGTAAAAAACTACATCACTAATCTGTCACATAATGCAATTGATTTCCTTGTGGATGACATTGCGCAAGGCTACCATCAGATCATCGTCGATTGAGTAATCTGTATCGAGACGACAAACCGGTATAGAATTTCGATTAGCATTTACGAATAACATTAAAATACATTATTCAATAAATGCGCGAAAACATTGCACGTTTCTCAGTATCCAGAAGTGCTAATGCTTATATTGTTAGTCAAACGCGAAAACTGTATAATCCGACGTGAATTTCGCGGAATGGAAATTTCCGCGAAATTGAAATTATAACGAAATAACCGGGCGGATTCGAGGTAGACGCGATAGACATCCGATTGAACAAACATGCGAGACGAGACTCGTAATCCATGGTAAACATTCAAGGATAGGTGTCCTGCGTTTCTTCTTAATTAAGTATGACTTAATTAACAAGTTTTAAGAAAAATTAAGTATAAAGTCATTTATGTAGAAAAGTATAGGCGATTCTGCTGTAAGTACCGTGATCAGATAAAGAGTGGTTTTTTTTTACAAGATAAATATAGAAATATATTATGGTGTAATGTATTGCGAAAACTTATAATTGTGCTTTTTTAGAAAATATTTTGTATATGATGTGGTTTATGTTATTTGCGTTTATAATCTCTTCTGCAAATTTTTCCTTCATTTTATGAGTTATAACTATTTCAAAGTTAGTGTAAAAAATGTGACGTTCCTCTATTTTCCTAATAAGTAATTAAATATATGTATAATCCATATAATATAATAAAAAATATGTATTGAAAATACGAATGTTATAAATACTTAATATTTTAAATTAAAATAAAGCTCTTCTCGAACCCAATCAAGCACATCAGATTACTTCGTATCAAACGTGGGAGATGGATGTTTATATCAATTTAAATTCTCCCGAATGATTCGTACAATCTTTAATCGTGTCGTTTCATCAGAAATTTCTATGATATTCGCTTTATTACCCCTATACTCGCTTTCGTTTATCTAATGTCGCGAAAGAAAGCGCGTCGCGTTACGCATAGGTCTTACGGATGAAAAGTAGTCAAAGTATCAAATGTAAATGGTATAGGCAGGAGCCATCGGGGCTGGTACATATCTCGATACCGTACGAGCTGCACCGAATTATAATCACGAAACAACACGTTAATAACGCTTCCCGTAGGGCGATAACGACACAGTCGCCGTTCGGCGGGGTGCATCGGCGTCGCGCACGTCCATGATCAAAGGCCCGCGTCCCGAATGGGAAATTATAATTAATTAAGGTAATTGGAAATTAGCGACCGATCTTGCCCATCCTAATGGCGCGGAGCCGCGCGCTCTACTCCGCTCTTAATTGAGTTAGCAGCCGCTTTTGAGAAGCCTCTGTATCACTGACAGCGGCCCTAATCGCATTCCTACTGGGGACCCCCGATAGAACCGGTACTAATGGCGTCGTCGTCGTCGTCGTCGCCGTCACCGTCGCCGCAGCGGGGCTTAGCAAAAGTCAATAAGATTGCCGACCGTTTTCCGCGAGATCGATCCCCCGAGAGTGAGAAGCGGGAGAGATCTCACGTGGAGATTGTGCGTGGAGATGAGATCGGGACTCTCGTCGAGAGAGAAAGAGACAGCGTTGATAACCGCGGCGGACGCTTACGTCAATTCGGAACAAAGCAAATACAAATGTGTGTCCAACGCCACACGTGGCGTACGCGAACTTGTGCGGAGGGTGCTCAGAAAGACACGAGTCTTTCCCCTCTTCTCTAATAGACCTCTCCTTTCTCAGAATTGTGAAATCGATATGCTCAGGATTATTTAGCGTTGAAAATGATGGAATCCTTTATCGAAATTGAGCACCAAACGAAATAAAAGTTTTCACGTTATTTTAAATCAATTTTAACTTGAAAAATTGTAATTTTAGATTTCTGATATAAGTAAAATGTTTAATAAAACGAAAACTGCGTTTGGTTATATATCCGCACTGGAAAATTCGTCTCTAAATGTCCCAGAAAATATCGTATTATGTGGATTTGATTTTATTAATACAACTTGTGTATCTGAGAACGTCTTTTCACGATTTTTGTGGATTTTTGAATAATATGTCGTTTATTCATTACGATTTATTATTGGTCTTGATTCGCATACGGTTATCAATATTTCAATACCATCTTTACACCTATTTAAAACATGATCATTCGCGTTCCAAGATCTCTTTGATTTTAGTCATATGCGACTTAAACACGATGATTTTTTTCATAATAATAATTTACGATCCTAAAATGGGGTGTTATAAAGTTATTAGGCATAAATAGGAATATAAAAAAATACTGTAGTTTTTTCTAAATTATCGTTCAACTAATTATACATTTTCACAGATCCACGCAATGATTCTATTGTCCCCGTACATTCCTTCCTTTTCCATGATAAGTAAAGGCACAAATTAATTACAATACAAGAAGGATAACTTGCTAATTACCGATACAATACGAGACGCTTGATAATGTATCCTGATAATGTATCCTCATTCATGTGCAATTATTAACTGATAAATCGTTTTTTTTTTATCGTCTCAAGGCTGTTATGTAAATTCGATGCGTAAATGTTGGCGTATCCGAGGTGTCGAGGCGGAATGCTCTTAACATATTTATACAAAATCTGCATACCGCAGATAATGCAATTGATAGGCATACAAGTGATATCAGTATAATAATAGAGTAATTATTGAATAATAGTGATGTTACGATTATAAAGCGAAATTTGTGCGCAATAATTGTTACGTATATCTATGTATTTACTAGCGTAACTGCTTTTTCTGTTAAAAAAAAAAGAGCTTTCTCAATCTCTGCAGGTTCCCTATTAAATAAAGCTGATTTGTTTCAAGTAAAAGAAATTCGAACGACGACCGCCGACAATTATAATAACTTTCGCACTTGCCCGCTCTCGTCTTCGTGGAAAAGTGAAGAAAAGGGTTAACAGCGCTATGAGCGCTCCGCGCGATTTACGAAGTCGCGCGCCCTGTAAATTACTACCTTCCTGTAATTATAACCAATTTGGGCACCTGCCGAGGTGCCCCCGTCGTCAGGAATCTTTCGCCGAGCGAGGTCTAAATCCCGAGGTCATTTTCCGCGAGGTAAATGCCAATTAGCCGACCGGTTAGCGCGGCATTGCTCGTCGGCTGGAGTACATTACTCGACGACGCGTAACACCCAACCCGCCCTCGAGTTGAGTTAACTGCGAAATAAGGTCCGACGATGTTAGGAGCGGCAGTTGACGAAGTTTCCCTCGCACACGAGTATCGAAGGAGCGATTTGTTTTCCGAGCCAAAAAGGCCGTTACGCAGAAGAACACGACAAAAAGAAAGGAGACGAAGAATGTCAAGGGTATACCTGTGCATGAAGTTGAAGGAAGAAACGGTAAATTTAATAGTTAAACCACTTGTATATCTTCTTGCTCCATTAATTTTGAATTTAAATCTGACTGCCGAGAGCGACACTCAACCGTAACGATGATGTTGCCTACGACGCAGATATAAGTGATTCATGATGAAATTTGTTTTTCGCATTGACGCAAATATAAGACCCATATAACTCCGGGTATTCGATGCTGGATGAGAAACAATGACACTCCGGCGCGCGGCGGGCGCAATAATAATGTTTTAATCCGTAAGCGTTCTCGACACAAATTAGTATCAATTAACTTACAATTAGTTAACGGATCAGAACCGATTTTTCGTCTCGGTTTCAGATAAAGACGAGGAGAATCGAGAATCGTTCTTCCGAGATGAAACGCAGATCGACGCAGGTGAAACCGGTCATAATTCCATCCGGAAATTTCCGTCCTCGTGTAAGTATTCTCGAGGCGCAAAAACGGGGCGTAAATAATGCCCAGGGTCCCCGCAATCGATGATGCGAAAAATTACGAAGCTCAGAAGGCGCGGGGGAGTCGCTTGCTTAGGCGTACGTGGTGTTATTCGTAACAAGCGCGAACGTGGGATGGGGTCTGTGGTAAAAGGTGAAAGGGCGGATTATTGAAATCGTATTCCTGCCATTGCGCCCCCGTTGATGACAGGGAGGAGCACTCGACTCGTGGCGAAATAATCGAAAATAAACCGCGTGGGAAATCGCGCCGCGGTTTATTTTCGCGGCCGCGCTCGCTCGAGCCGCGATATACACTTACCACCGCCGTTCTTGTAGCAGAGGTACGGGAATCGCCACACATTAGCGAGATCGACGGCGAACCCGATGACCGACAGCAAGAAATCGAGCTTCCCCGACCAGGTCTCCCTGCCGTCGCCGGCGTTGACGTCGACGCCCTTCGCGGCGTTCTTTACCACCGTCGACGACATCCTTCCGGTACCTGCAATGCAACGGCAATAAATATGTATATCTCAATAAATATATATATAGCTCGTAATTTATACTCTAAAGGTAACATTAGTTCTCATGTCTGCAAGTTAATCGTCATTTAGATGAAAATTTTACATAATGTATATTTCAGCATATGGAAAGCTGTTAATAATTTATCGTCCGGTTGACTAAGATAATCATTAAAATACTGTTATAGAAATGTTATGCATTCCGCAATGTAGGTTGCATCTTGCATCATCAATAATTCATGGTTCTTAAAGGTGTCAAAACTTATGTTCGACCTCTTATTTGACTTTTATTAAAGCCTAGATCTTTCGTCGTAACCGTATCTAATTAGAATCCGAGATTTTCTCTTAAGCCTTGTGTCCACGATGCTAGAACTGCGTCCGAGTTTCGGTTTAAGCCACGCAACTTGCAGCTCTTACAGAAAAGCAGCAGTTTTATTGGCTTAAACCGAAACTCGGACGCAGTTCTAGCATCGTGGACACAAGGCTTTATACCCTCAAAATAATGTTTTTCGCACGCCGTCATTCGTATTCGATAAATTAGAAAAAAAAAAGAAAAGAAAAATAGAAGAGAAAAAAATTGAAAACTTTCGATCCCGAGCTTAAAAAAAGGAAATAATCCATACCAATGCCAGAAAAAATATGTTATGTATTTTGCTTAAGGGCACAATAAAAAGAAAATGCGAACGGTATATTATTATTTCTTCGAGAGATTTGAAGCAGGCTTTCCTTAAAGGCAAAAGTCTCCCGTGCAAACTGATCAATGTAATCACGTAATAATCTTATGCACTCGGCTCATGAACAAGTGCATAAATCTGCATGCCTACCGCGCGCGGAATTAGGCGCAAGGTCGCGGGTGTGCGAGGAGCGAAAGGAGTCGAGCGAAAGGAAGGCGCAGCGCGCGCGAACGGAGACGCGAAGAGGAGGGATGGAGGAGAATGGATGGTGATAACGCAATGGAAAGGAAATCGGCGATTCGATATATGTGTGTGTGTGTGCATACGCGCGCGCGCATTTGTGGTTATTATATTATTTATTCGCGCACTGACACGAAACATGAACGTATGTGCGAGCGAAAGAGGGGTGGGAGAGAGGAGCGCGTCGCGTGCGCGACGGGGCGCGGCGCGGCGCGGGCGCGTGTAATTTGGCGACGACAAGTTATCGATAGCCCTTCAGGCGACAACGCTCGACGCCCCCAACGAGCCTCATTGTACCCCGTGACGGGTACCGGTCAAACAGCGTATATTTCAAAGGCGATCGCGGGCGATCCGGCCTCGAGGGGCCACTCGACGAGGGGTTTTCTGTCACGCGCACTGATCCACGCTTATCCACGCGGACCGACCCAGTTAATTGATATTCGGCGGTCGCGGAGACACCTACGGACGCGCGAAGATGGACGGCGACGAAAAATCACCCGCTCGCGCCTCCACCCTCCCCTCCGCCCTCGCCGCCGCGATGATCGCTCAAGCGGGGAGCGCACACACTTCTGCATAACGCATAATGCGTAAGCATATAAGAAAATTGATTGGTCCATATACACATATGCATAAGAAAATAGACCAATCAGTTTTCTTACGCTTACGTATATTATGCGTTAGGAAAAAGTCTGCGTTTCCCGCTTCACACTCGCTTCCGTCGCAGCTTCGGAAACCAGTTCGCCGAGGAAGGATCCATAAATTAAAACGATAAACTGAATAATGAATTTAAAATCCGATCTAATGAAATTCATTCGTGTAAATTAAATGCATTTGTAAGTAAAGCGGTTTAAGTGTATCTGAAGGAGGATATGATTTTACACTCGATTTTACACCACGTAGTTCAATGTCATTTTTTTTAACTTATACTATTCCATTTTTAGTGAATTTTTTTAAATTTGGAAATTTTGTTTGTTTCTTAATAGTATTAAATAATACTGGTAAATTCTGACAACAGTTTTCATGTAAAATTAATAATTTTATTTAAAAATTGCTTAATTGATTAATCTAGACAGAAAAAAATCTTTCGAGAATTTGATATCCTGCGAGATATCTTGATAAAAATATTTTTAAATGAAAATTATATAACAAAATTTAATTGCTCAATTTATTATATAATGTTAGGTATCTATTCTACTATTTAATCAATTATACTTTTCTTATATAAGGAAAAGTTAAATATATCACTAAAGTCTTCCTTCACCCTTTCCCCGAAGTAGGTACGATATTTCAATCGATGTCATCATCGGTTCTTAACGAATATTCCAAAACTAGTTTTAACGAGGATATAATAGCTAGAATAGAAGGAAGCGACGGAGTAGGGGTAAAGGAGTAAAAACGATATTCCGTGGAAATCGAATTTACGTCAACATATTCCTGCACAGCAGGAGCGTCGCACCTATATGTATACATATTCAGAAGCCGGTCTCTTCCCTCTTTGGCTATCTTCTCCCGAACCATTGTCCAAGAATTAAGTATAAATTAATTAGCGTAACCGCAATTGAATAGCAGAGATAGCGAACCGCAAACGGTAATATATGCCCGCGCACACGCACAGGAGGACAAATAGGAGAACCGCAATGACGCGAAACGATCGTCATCGAGACTGCACGTCTTTTTTTACATGCTTTTTTCTATCGCGTGTAAACTAGACACACCTTAATTCTTGCATTAACGCAAGAAGCCTCTCATTTTCTTCTTTGACTGATGCAGCGCGGCCTCCTTTATAGAATAGTCAGATTTTTTGTTACAAGACTTTTATTTTATTAATAATAAGTTTCGTTAACTGTAGAAAAGAATTAGAACAACTTAAGAAAATCTAATATAAAAGAAATGTCGGGGGGTTTCTATTATTTTTATATATTCCGTTTCTTTTTAAGCAATATTTTGTTGACTATTTTTTACACAAAGATATTCTTGTTTCTTCTGATTTATTAAGAAGTTAAATTATGGCAATGTTTTAAGATTAATTTATACTCTTAGCTCGTGTGGCTGATTATCACTAAATATTTTTTGCGAATAACAATTAAATCAAACAAACGTTGCGTAGCAGTCTTTCTCAGGCGGAAACAATTACGTGTAAAAAAATCAAACTCAATCTCGATAATTAAAATAATAAGTTATTTTAATCATTCGCAATGCGATGAATGTCCGCTCTACTATGTCTCAAAGAACATAAAGCGAATATTAATAGAAAAATATGTAGTAAAAACCAGTTATCAATAAATTTATATTTATTTTCGATAAATAAATATATGATATATATATTTTTAAACATATATACATAAAATCTTCACCTATTGTTAGACATTATATAATTATATATTAAAATTTATCAAATTGATTAAAAACGGGTAATTTTATATGGGAATTTTTATTATTTTTACGTTCCGAATTACTTTTGAAACTATACTATCGCAATCTATAATAGCTACCCGGTGAATAATTTCTTTCAATAGAAAAAGTGCGAAATTAGAGAAATGTTATCCATTTCTGATGTAATATTCGCCTCTTGAGAGACAGCCAGACAGCCAGAGATTTTGAGATGATATTCGCATCTTTCTGAGGTGACGCGATTTAAAGATGAATATAGGTACATTGTGTAATATTTAATTATTCACGATTAAAAAACCCGTATATGCATATAAGTGCGCGTGAATACGCAGATAAACTTCAAGTTCCAATTGTTGACACAAAATCTATTATGCATGAAACAATACGCGTAGTTATTCCTGCATCGCAATAATCTCTAATGAATATTTAGAAAATTTAGAAAATGTTAACGTATCTACGTCTTGCATAAATAAATATAAATATTTCTTTAAGGGCCAGTTGTTCCAACCTGTTGGTAAACTAACTAACGGTTAAATCATATATATGTCTTTGTTTATCTTTTACATTAGACAAAAATAGACATATAATTTAACTATTAGTTAGCTTACCAACAGGTTGGAACAACCGGCCCTAAACCAATCAAATGTATTTTTACCCAAAATATCTGTCAAATATAATGTGTGTAGTGATAAAAAATTACAAGTTAGGATTTTTCGCTGACATAACGAACAGAATAATAACAAAATTTGCCATAATTTTGACAGTTGCAAATACAAAATCTCACGCGAGTGAGATTTGTTTAATCTGAAAATCCAGTTTAACGTGTAATTCTCCTAAATTAAAATAATCATAAATTGTCTATAATGTATGATAATTAATGTATATAAGAGAGCCGCAAAATATAGCACAGCCACTGAATTTTTTCACGCTTAGTTGACCGATTTAAGGTGATATACGCGCAACCAAAGTGAATTGTGAAATAATCTATTTATATGTTAAACGCGATTACTATCAGATATTTCTACAGTCGTGTTTTCTCTTTCTTTCTGCATTTATGGGATATATTTCATAGAAGATATCTTGAATTTTATTTCAGAGAAAAATGGAAATGACAGTTTCTCTCTTCGTACCAGCTACGAGACATTTGTTACATCACGTTCTACGCGTCGAAAGAAAATTTCGTAACGAGAAAGGAAAAAAAATGTTTAATGCTAACCGTTAGATTTCTCGCGTCCAATTTTTTTCGTTACGAGAATTCACGAACCGTAGAAAAGTCTGTCGAATCGAAAGGCACGATATTCTTTGTGCCCTTCAAATAAAACACGAACTCTGCGTGGCGGCGAAAGGATTCCCCGTATCTGAAGTCACGGTGTAAAAAAAAGAAACAGAAGGAACCTACCGGACGACAGCCTTTCCTCGTCTTTCGCTCTCCTCTTCGGCGGAGGAATTCGCCGAAGGAAAACCCGAAATACCCGCGATCGGTCGATCGTGATTCGCGACGGCGGACTAACCGCTCGCGTGCCGCGTCCCGGTCTCAAATATTCAAACGACGGCTACGCGAACGTGGTAGCCTGACTGGCTGACGAATAACACATCGACAGTGGGGGAGAGGATCCGTCGGATTTGAAAGAAACTATACGACGAAATTCACAAGTGGGAGACTTTCCTGGGGCGAGGTTTCCTGAGAATTACGAACGTGACGCTAATTAGATTTCCTTTAACCGGCAATTGGATCCTTGAGATGGCACTCGATCGGCTTTGGACATCATCGTGACGTCGCGAATGACGAATGATTGTTTTTCATCTCGAGGAAAGCGTCTTCGCTGGCGGTTGTTGATTTCCTTCAATGCGTTTCGAGGAAGCGCGGGAAGCATTTTCCGAAAGGTGTAAGGATAACAGCCGGTTGTTCGGTTGTTGAGATATGACTCGAGTGATCAAGACAAAGCGTCATTGACAGTTTGGATTATTCTATTGACCTTTGAAATCTCTCTTTCCAGCCACATTAGAATAATACGCAATCAATAACGCTTGATTATGATTCTTCCGCGTATTGCAGTGTAATATAACGCGCTTCGAAATATATTTTCTATTTTATTAAAAATGTCAGCTGGTAGATGTGTTTTCCATGTTTCCCCAAGAAATGTTGTTTCGAATTGAAACAGCGCATAAAAGTCTACAAAGCGTGCTTATAAATATATATAAATATTTCAAATAGGTAATGGATATATTTTGAAATATAATTTATTTTATATGTGTATATGAGTTACTTAAAATATAAACGTACAATTTATGTAGCACACATTCTAAGATTTCTGTCATTCCGATTATTTATTAATCACAAACTCTGACGAATTTGGCGTTTATTTGTTCTTGAAATAAAACTCGTACAATTAATATTGGCACGTTTACACCCTGAATTTATGCCCGTTCTAGACTGGAGGTCCTACTCGCGGCTCATCCTAGTGAGTAAGTGTAGACGGATAAAAATCATGGATAATCAATGATTTTTATCCGTCTACACTACTCACCAGTAGTCCTAAAATTATTTCACGGCTCTAATAAAATCTAGAATCGCGATACAAAATTATATGATAAACATGAAAGGCAGTGACGACGAATCGAGGAAACATAGAATCGCGCATTTTCAAATTGTACACACGACGCTGTTTGAAAGTTCGATCACTCTTTGAGATACTCACAACAATATTGCAGCCAATTTCGTTCTTTTTTTTTCCCTTTAACCGAGAAGAATAAAATTCATTTCTAAAAGATAAAAAAAAACAATAAATAATTAAAATCGCCGAAGGCTGCAAAATTGCAAACCCGTCGTCACCGACGAACGTCGGGGGAACGACGGGCCCCGTTCCTCGGCCTCGAGTCCACTCGCGAGCGGGAGCGGGGAGAGTTTCCCGCGACGAGATCGAGTATATCGAGTTAACTAGCGTCGCGGCGCGCGAGAGAGATACCGCGGGGACGCGCGTGTACTTACCGAGCGTCGCGCCGAAGACGACTAACGAGCGGCGGCGGCGGCGGCGTCGCCGTGAATGTTACAGCTCGACGAGACCCCGCGACACTGACCGCGCGGCTCCTCGGTCCACGGCAGGACTCCCACGACGAAGACTCGCCACAGGGTCAGAAGTAGTTCGAAACTGGTATCCGTCAGACCCATGCCCGATCTAAGCGCGTCGTCGTCCTTCCTTCCTTTGCCTCTTCCAGCCTCTTCCTCCTTCCCGCCGCGCGTCCTTTCTTTGCCGCGACACCCCCCTCGGCGTTTATCCGCGCCGAATTCTAGGTTACGCCGAAGGAGTGAAGGAGCCGAAGGAGAATCTTCCTTCTTCCCGCGCGCGCGACGTTTACGCGGGAGGAGGCGAAGCGAGAAGCGATCTCGCGCGCGCTCGTGCTCGTACCCCACTCGCGGCGCTCTACTCGCGCGAATTCTCGCGCATTCCGGTCGACGGGAAGGTGACGAAAGGGGGGAGGAGGCAAGATCGCGAAAGGGCGCGTTCAGGAGGCGAATCGCGAGACGCGTTGCGAACACGCGGCGTGCATCCCCTGCCGCGAGTTTACTTCCGGCGGAAAAGCGCGCGCCGTGTGCTTGGCGAGGAATATTTCGCGTTTCGTTTCTCCCGCGAGATGAAAATCGAAACGGGCAACAAGTTGGAGCTAAGAAGAGGAAAGAAAGAAGGGAGGAGAGACACGGGGAGGATGCGGTAGTATTTCTTCCGGCACAAATAGGGGAACCTCGTCGCAAAGGGTCGAAAGAGCGAGTGGCAAATTTTAGCGCCCGTCGGGTGCGTATATACGCGCCGCGGTCACGTGGTTGGTCGCGACCGCGACCAATCACTGCCTGCGCGCGCGCGCGCGCGTTGTCGCCGGACGGGAAATACTACGCACGACATCGACTAGTCGCCTTTCCAAAAAAAGAAGGGGCATATGAAAAACATATTACTTGATATTACATTAATACATAGATATTAATAATAAAAATTCAGAGCGATGTACATACATGTACATACACATGTACATACACATGTACATTCGTGCTCTAGGCAGTTATAAAAATGTTAGGAATCCAATCGGGAATCCCAATTAGCGAATTTCGAAATGTAATATTTACTCTCGTGCGATGAAACAAACAACAACGGGTTTTCCCTACTACAACGTGAAAGTTCAAGGAAGATATTAAAGAGCACAAATGTTTTAGAGATTTGAAAATTTTTTTTCCCGAAAATCTAAAGTTTAAATTGATTAATTTGTTCAGGTTCAAGAAATTATTTTTTATTATATATCCATATAAATTATTCAGAACGACGAGAAATAACGCTTGCAACATTGTCAACCTGCAAAACATACATTATATGCATAATTGCGTTTTATAAATTATTTTCCGCGCTATAAGCAGAAAATAATCAAACTCTTATTAAAGAAAAAGAGATTGCATTCATTTTATGACGTAAAAGGAGCGAGATTTTTCAAACGACAGTTCAAAGGCATCATTTTATCAGTTATTTTATTATTAGATGTATTATAAACAGAGAGCAATCAAACTCGTGTATAAAAAACAATTCTTTTTATTTAACAAAATTAAAAAAGAAGAAGAATCCTGTTCTTTTCACGACATAAGAAGAGCGAGGTCGTCCAAACAACAGCCCAAAGAAAATCGATCGTTCTCGGACGCCGTGTGTGTCATCAGTTGAATTTGAAATTGTCGCGCCGTCCTCGCCGATTGGCCGTTCGCGCGCCAATCGCGCGCGGTCACGAACGCACGGTCGCGAACGCACTCCGTGCCGTACACACACCGCACAGTGCACACACGGCGCGACCGAACGGACCGAAGGCACAGCCGAAGGCGACCCGCGACGACGACGACGACGACGACGAGGACGACGATCGTGATGATTGGTGCGGGCCGTGCGTAAGTCGTCCGAGTCGCCCGTTAGCTGTCGAGCCGCGTCCCCGCGTCACGCAGTCGTCATCCGGCTTTTCCGTCCGTCTCGTTTTTCCTGCGGTCGACGCGGTGAGTACATCCATCTTTCGACGGGCGCTCCATTCCGTTCCCCTCTTCGACGACGATTCGTCGATCGTGTGCGTCTGGGTCGCGTCTTCCTCGCTCCCTTTTTTTTTCCCCTCTTTTCTTATCTCCCTTTTGACGTCGCGCGCGACGGCGCGGCGGTGTCGACGCGACTAGGCGACAGGTCGTGAACTCCGAAATCCCGTCGGATTTTCCGTTCGACGGCGCTTCCGCGAGTTCCGCGCCGTCTGTCGCTCGCGCGACGCCCCTTCGTGCGTCACCATACGGACGCGAGCGACGGACTTGGGTTTCTCTCTCGTCGCTCGCGAATCGCCGTCGGGAAACGTCAAGGGTGTCGCGCGCGCGCGCGCGCGGAAAAAACGGAGCGAGACGGGCCGCGCGGAAAATCGCGACGAACGACGTCCGCGCGGCCCTCTCGGCACTTATTTGTGAGATCCTTCCCCCTCTCCCCTCTCTTTCCGCTGCATGCTATCAGCAGTTAAGCCTCCGTCTGTTTACGTGGGTTTACAGCATCCGAGATGATATCTCTGTTCGTAAAACTGTCAAACTTGCGAGCATGCCAGAAAATATTTTAAATAAACGAGATGTTTATCAAAATAACCGTACAGAATCGTCAACTACAATGTTGGCAGACGTTTTGTGAATGTTTTTAGATTTTTTTAAAATACTTTAAAGTAGGGAAAGATAGCGTCAAATGTGATAGACCCACCTGTACACTCCGAGGGAGCAAAAAAAAACTTATACAGACGGAGGGTCAACTTCCGTGACCCGTGACAGCCGCGCGGTGCGCGCAGAGACGAGAAAAAATTTCGATTAAATCGCTCGCGATTCTGTAACTCGTTAATGCTGCGGTATCGTTATCGTTAGATTGTCGTTGCGCAGGTAGGCAGGTGTGCTATACGGTAAAAAAGCTGCGCAACGACAATATAACGATAACGATGCTGCATAACGAGTTGCAGAATCGCGCTACAGGCTATACACAGGCACGAGATATCATTGCGGTGGCCGCGTTGCGTAAATGAGGTTTCACTCGAAAGAATTCCGTTTATCTGATGACGCTCGAATAACCGCGGTATGAATTTCTATGTTCTCTACGCTCTTCGCGATTCGTGTCGTTGTTCGCGATTTACGACACGATTTTAAACGGAATAATTATAACGAGCGCGTTCGCAATTTAGCGATCTTCAATTGTCGCTGGGAGATCGAAGATCAGTATCGTGGATGGTTTCTTTATTACGGCTTTGACACGTGTTGCTGTAAATTAACGCTACGTATCGCAATCGGTAATTCACGTGTAAACATCGATGTTCATCTCGTTATTTATAGTACTTACATTTTCTCGATACTTCCGCAGTTCGAAACTTCCGTTTGGACATTCTCGCGAGGCAGGTCCTCCATAAACTTTCTAAACTTTTCAAACTTTTAAAACAATGAAGTTTTATACCGTTATTACAGCAATATTTTATCTAAATGTATATTTTCTAAAATTTATAATGTATCTTTTCATATTATGAATTAAAAATAATATAAAACATTAATTTATATTACTTAGACTTAATAAAATATTTATATATATCTATATTTATATTTATATATATCTATATAAATAAATAAAAATATGTATATATAATTATTATATATAGTTAATATATATAATTATAAATTCATGTCTTATTTTATTTTTAATATAATACATAGTATATAACTATATAAGACATACATATATTGGGTGCGTTCCGTTTCATGCATGAGATGAAACGCATAAGCTTATCCTTGTTTAACATTCGGTGAACAACAAGGATAAATGATGCATTATGCGCATCATGCATAAAACTATTACAATACAAATTTTAGAAAATATATGTAGGACAAAATATTGCTGTTATAGCGGCATAAAACTTCATTGTTTTGAAAGTTTAAAAATATGTATATACATCTTAAATAAATAAATATAGATATATGTCAAATAAATAAGCGTATATTCTTCCGCTGAAAACAATGCGGCACGATACTTCCGTTATTGGAAAAGATTAGGTATGTCTCGCCCAAATACGTTTCGTAAAGTGTAACACGCTCTACGGATACGCGCATGATAAACGGCCGGTAATACTCTAACGAGTCCTTGACAGCTGCACTTGGCCGATAATCTACATAACGTAAGTTCGCGACATTTATGTCACATTTGCGAGATTATTTTCAAATGTGCAGCGTGCAGCGCGCTCGTCGTATCAGCAGGCCAGATAACGAGTCAGGTACCTTCCTCCTCCTCCTCCTCCCTCGCCGTCACGCAAATGCGAGTAATTGTCCGCCTTATATACGGAATGTCCTTGAAATGAGAAATGACAGCGCATTAGTCATACATATAGTCTTATAGACAGTTGCAACTTGGTCATATTTTTTAACGCGAAAATATACCTTGTTATTTCGAATCTAAACTCGTTTTTAATCACGATGCCATGCTCCACTGTTCGGTATTGACACTGCGCGGACGCCGTGTTATTTTTCGAGCACTCACTCGGGACACCCTGGGATTTTTAAGTTCAAAGGGTTTTTGAAAGCGTTTCTGCGTTGCAAAAAATCTATAAAAATTCATGTATCATCTTTGAGGCTTCAAAGAGTGATTTCTACACTTACATAAGGCCGGAACCGTTGCAATTTTTTTTTAAGCGTTGAAACGTCAGGAGAAAACTGTAAAATACGAAAAATTGACCGCGCAGTGTTAAATTATGCAGAGAAATCAATCAACCAACGAGATTGTTACACCATTTGTTTATGTTTCATATACCTGCTTATACAATTCTCTGAAATTTTGCTTCGCGGAATATCAGATTTTTAAAGAATCGCTGAGACATACATGTTTGTTAACGAGTCTCGATTCTTCTTTCTTTTTCGCGACGTCAGTATATTGCGCTGTATATTGTTTATAAAAGTAACCATTCGTAATATCAAACAAATAAACCGTGTCGCACGTTTTGCACGAATTATCGGTGACCAAAAGGATTCTCGCGCACGACGCGACGGGGAAACGTGCGTCGCGCTCGCGCGGTGTGAGAAAGTAAACGTTGACTTGTCTAATAATCGCGATAATCGAGGCAATTTCTTCATTGTTTTGTGCAGCGGCAAGATTCTGCGAGAGGTCTTCCATCCGCCACGATGAGCGACGAAGGATTCGACCCGTGCGAGTGCATGTGGAATTACATGTCCGTGCAACATCTACTTTCTATCGTAAGTAACGCGAGAGAAAATGAGACGCGAGTTCGTCAGATCGATGTCGCGATAAACCCGCGGTCGGATAATGGGCTGCGACGAAGGATACAATACATACGCGTGTCTTTTTTTTTTCTCCGCGAGCGTTTTAGGTCTCTATGGCCGAACGATAAGCGAGGTTTCCCAATCTTGGACAGACCTGTGTAAAACGCAATGACCTCTTCTGTTTAGCTGGCAGAAATTTGTTGCGCCACGCGGTTACGTAAAAATGTTTCAATTACGTAAGTCGATCGATGCATGATACATTACACGAATCGAATACGAGGACTTCGAATTATAGAGATTCGAGTGTAAAGAGGAAAACCTCGCTTCTCTGGATCAGTTCGTTGAATATGCATTCCGTAACGAATCATTTTTATACAATCAAGGCAAATAAGAGCAAAACACCGTTGTTAAAGCGAGATATATAAGGTAACTTTAATACAAAAAGAAATGATACATATTACAAACGTTTCGGTCTTAATTTTAGATCCTCTTCGGTGCAATTTAAGATTGAGTTACGATCTTATTAAGTTATATCTTATAAAGATCGTAATTTAATCTGATATACAATCGCTACACTAGATACGTAACTTAATCATCGCTACACGGAATACGTAACTTGATCTTAATTCGTATCTTCTTTTATATTAAAGTTACTTTTAGTATATCTCGCTTTCATATATCTCGTTTTAACAACGGCGTTTTGCTCTTATTTACCTTATGTTATGAATTTGATTGTATTATATCTTGAGAGCCGTTTTTCTTATTTTTGTTTTGTTATGCAGGCTGAATGTGTCTTACCAGTTTGTCACTCTTTTTTTATTTATTTATTCGTGCTTATTATAGTATTTTGGTTGTCAAATTGCTACACTAAAGAGAATCTAAAATTAAGACCGTTTGTAATATGTATATCTTTTCTTTTGTATTAAAGTTACTTTAAGTATTTTATATATCTTGCTTTAATAACGGTGCTTTCCTCTTTTTGCCTCATATTATGAACTTGGGTGAATCTTTTTTTTTACGTTGGAAAAATACATGAAGAACGTAGCTTTTATGAGACACATAAATGTATCAATGCATCAATGTGTATGTATGTGTGTATTGTGTATATATGTAAACGCGCAACACACACACCCACACAAAAGTAAAATTAATCTTAATAACGATATATATAATTATTACGTATCTTTACATATTTATTGCACTTGTATTTATCGAAACATCTGCAGCGAATAGTTATTTGCCTCACTGCGCGTATTTTGCAAATAAAAAGTAAATTTTTCTACACAAATTGTATTACTCATCTGTTACAGTTACGACAATCACAGGATTATTGTTCGGACACCGAGTGCTTCAGCATATCGAGACGTACGTATTCATTATTTACTTACAGATACTTCTAGTTACAATAGATATATTAATTATATTAAATTATACTCCTACAGTCGATTTCACCAACCGTAGATGATTAAATTTAATTTTAGTTTAACTGGTCCGTGATTTCTTCCCAGAACTGAAAACAAACAAAAGTTTATTAATTTAAGATACACGATTTATGCGTTAGATAATACTAAATTACAATTTTAGTAGTTAATAAGAAAAAGACGAGTATTCCTTTTCTAGTTCCAGGACCGCAGACGAACGTTCGGGAATCTTCAGATTTCCTCTTCACTTGCTTAATGATTGGCTTTATGGTTCTCCTGTACGCATTTAGACCATCTTTGCGACGATCGACCAGGAACATTATCAAGAGCAGCAACGAGCCCGTAAGTGTATCGATTGTGCATTATCGATGAAAGCTTGCAAGACACATTTCAAAGACATACTTTATTTGCAGGGTTCACACGAGGATGGTCCGCCTTCGCCGCCGACGATGAATTAAATCGCAGATATCGCGTCGGTGCTCTTGTTATTCGAGGTTTTATATACCAGGATTTGTGCTAAACTTATAACAGAAATAGAAAGAGTTATGGTATATAGATACGATGTTAATAATCATATTATACGCGTTGGCGGGATTTATTAGTTTGATATTTGGAAGCGTTAACTTCCTTACATATTAGTAATCGCAATTTTACACGATATAACGCGCGCGTACGCATATCCTTTCTCTTTAAACTCTCTCTTATAATCACGTGCCTATGTATATTATTATGTGTAATATGAAGTTTTATCACAACTTTCTGAAGGATAGTAGCAAAGTTGAACAATTACATCACTAACATGAGATAATAACAGAACCCGCTTACGCGCGATAAGAAGAATGTATTGTACGCGCGAATAGAATTTAAAATCTTTACTATATAAACAATAAAAAGATTAAGTACCTGCGAATGGATAGTCATCTAATTATTTATTCGGTATTTATATTCGAGAAATGAGAATATCCAGACCTTAGAATCACGAATAATTTGTCGCATAAGGAATCTCCCACATACGATCACCGAGAATGTATAATTATCTGCTGTAAATAATATAACGATAGTGAAATAATGTATGATAATTGAGAATTTCGGAATCTTTTGTGATTGTCAAGAAACAGTATTTATATTTTTTTTGTAATTTACTAAACTAGACGGAAGTGCATCTATCTTTTTTCAGTACGATAAAATCGATATCTAAAAATTAAATTTTGTTATCTACAATGAAAAAAGAGAATATATTTATAGTTTTATAATATATATTTCGATACGCATATTATATCGTTCAAACAAAGTGGAGATATTTTGTCACATCCGACGTTTTACACGAATGAAAAGAATACAGATTTAAAGATATAATTATGTACAAATAACCACGATTATCAGCAGTATTACACGATTTTCCAGTAATATACATGGTCTATGATAAAATGTTTTATACTAACAATGTTGTTTAACGTTGTACATTCCCCATATTTTCGATAATAAAACTGATTCTCCGCATTGCATAAAATGGTTCTTTGTGTTTATTACGTCAATATAAATGTCAATACAGAAGCTTGTAAAAAAAATAACATGGGATACAATGATATGTTCATATAAAGGGATTTGCGTCCGTTATCATTCAATTTATACAACTAATTATACATATTTTTATTTTCATTACAAAATAATTTTATTTTAGATAAAAGTTACATGTAATTATCTTTGTACACTGTTGATATATTCGATATTTATCTTGGCTATTTACGTTTCATTTTACTTATCATATTTCGGAAATTCGGAAGTTTATTTCCGAACAGACAATTGTACATCAGCAAAAAATTAATAATTACGTACCTACGTGTATAAAAAATGGTGGATAATATTTACTGAAATAATCGCAAATGGCTATCATATCATATTTACTAATTAAGAGAAAATTAAGATATAAATATATCAGCAAATTTCTTGTATTAACATTATCTATACAGAATAGAAATTAATATATTTGAGCGAATGAAAATTAAGCATCAATGATTTGAAATTTGAAACTTGGTTTCCAAATCTCAGAATATTTTTGCATGTTGTATCATGATGAAATTTAATGTTTAGCGATTTGTATTTTATATATTTTTAAATCTTCTTTGTCTAATTCTTCAAAAACTATTTTCTCCTCTGTCGCATACAAATATATACGTAGATATATATTATTTTTTACAATATACATATATTGTAAAAAATAATCCTCGTATATATATATATATATGGATGTATATGTTGCAAGAATTTTATGTAATTCATTTTTTTTTTGCAAAATCCCTAGGAAATCCACAATATATCGATCTTTAGTGGAATCTCTAGAAATTTTGCATAACGAATTGCGAAATTCCCGCGACATGTACGTATATGAATATTAGTTTTATAAATCACAGTTGAATATTTCATATCTCCTCAACGTGTACAAAATATATTGCACAAGTAGAGCTTCTCTTACATCCAATTAAAGTTAATGTGCGTATGTAGAAAATAGATCTGAATTATAAGACAATACAAAAGTAAAATAAACATCACAGTTATATTTAAGAATAATAACTGTGTGATGAAAACTTTGTATCTATGTTTTTGTACTTTTGGAAGATGACAGCAATTTATATGATTTTTTTTCAGTATTATATATGTATATTTATACACATAAAATACCTTTTATATAATATATAATATAATTATATATTATATGTAATATAATACAATTAATATATATTATATAATTACACATATGTATATACATATATAGTAAATTAAATGAATCATGTCTAAATATGAATTACGCATCTAAGAATTATGTATAAAATATATGTACAATCTTGTGAGTTAAATCATTTATGAATCCATAAAAAATTATGGAAGCATTTTTTAAAACCAATAATAATTCTGTCAACAGATATTCTGTGTTTGTGTATGATACATTTCAATCTTTATATTCAAAAATTAGACATATTTCCATAAACGAGTGATATTTTAATATTGAAAATATACCAGACTAAAATGTATGTAGAAATAAAAGAGAATGTATTAAATTGAAGTTACAATATAGAAATGCTGATTCTTTTTACATCATTTTATTAACTGTAATATGTCTAAAGATCTCAGAACACGTCATACAGGCCACAATCAAAGAATAAGAAAAAGTTGAAATGCTTTCTGATCTGAAGCAGTAAATTGAAACAAAACGGATACGATATCTCCTGTTTTCATGATAAGATTTTCACATTAAGTCTGAATTTGGAGAATTTAGAGAAATAATGAAAAGAAAAGAAGAAATATCAAGGAGTAACAAGAAAATGCTGTATCTGTTCTCTAAGGAAACATATACGTTTAGAAGAAAAAAAGTCGATCATTTTTAAACACTTCCTGATAGTTTTGTTTCAAGAACGTTACTTTCAAATTTTGTGTCAAAATTTATAAAGATGACATGACACATCCGAGTAACTTGTCTGAACAGTAGTTTCAAAGAAGTCTGACAGTAAGAAAGTCTATTATCTTACAATCAATATAAAGAAAAAGAATTCTAGAGAAGCTCAAAAGGAGATGAATATAGAATTCTACTGCGTCAACCAGTGAAGCATAGTTTGTACATACTAATAATGAATCGTGATTTAGTCTGCAAACCGCGTGTTTGAGATTTTTAGATAATGTTCGTGAACACATCAATCTTATATTTACAGACATTTATAGATCCAAAAATAGCTATTTATAATAAGATATCAATGTCTTTAAAAATATTAGGTAAGAAAAAAGAAAAAAATAAATTTTTAAGTCGTGTCCTATTACTTTTTTTTAATAATCTCAACTAATGATTTCATTGATCTTTGCATATCTAAATATCCTGTACTTACAGAGGGCTATATCAATTCTTAAATAATCTATTCCTATTCGTGTAATCTTGCCATAGTGCTTCTAACTCTTTGCAAGACTCCCGACATTTGTTCATATTTACCCGTTGAATCAGGCAAATTTTCAAAGTTAATAACATTGCAAATGTCCTTGGAAAACTTTTCCGACGACGGTAGTTTATTATACGGAGATGTACTTGGCAATATCGGTGTACCTAAATGTATTGACTTGACAGAAGCTTGATTTGTATCTGAAGATTTCTGCGAAGTAAGACGAATTGGAGTAGAATTAAATTGAGGCACTTTATCGGAAATTAACGTGTTCAGTGTAGTATTAAAATCATTTTTAAGTGACGTATCGGGACAGCACTGTAAATCCGACTTTATAGAATCTTGAATTGAAGATCTTCTCGAGGTAGAAGGCGTAACTGTTATACTGGAAAATGGCGTTTCCGACACAAACAAAGAATTCGAATCGGTTTTAATTGAAACGGAATCAGAATTAGACTGCGAATTTGTCTCTTCGATTTCCATAAGTAATAGTTTTTTCCTTCTCTCTAATTCAGATAAGGATGGCGAATTTGTGAGCGATGTAGTGTCGTCCTAAAAAGAAAATGCAATTTTTAAACGATTAATTTTTTTCATGATTAAAAATATGCAGTCTTATGAAGATATACCGCAAAATCGAAGGAAGGCAATTCTTGCGATTGCGAGTCTGAATCGTCTGTTGTTTGATGTAACCATTCTGACGGTGGTGGTGGTGGTGGTAGTGGTGGCGGTGGTAGTGGTGGTAATGGTGGTACTGGTTGTACTGGTGGTACTTGCACTGAATCTTTCGGCAATGGTGATATAAAATGTCCATTAAGAGACACATTCTCCACAATATTTTCTCCTTCAATAAGATAAAAAGAAATTATGTTTTACTTTCATAAAAAGTATGAAAACCCAATAGAAACGTGTTATCAATAATATGAATTTAATGTTAACATAATACTTATTCACTTTTTATAGTAATTATCTTTTTAATAAAGTAAAATTACATTAGAAATAGTGATACTATTTATTCGTTTTAAAGTACGTGTCGATTAATAAGTATACCTTCTGTATCTTCTATATCCATATCACTGATTTCTACATTATTTACACTATTTACTGGCGGAGGTAATTTTAATTTTTTCCGTTTGTAACCATCGTCTGCTTCTTTACCTTGCAGATTCAATAACATCATCTGTTTACTGTGCATGATTTGCATCTGCGGTACCCAATACATGTGGCTATCCTGCAATCGACAGACTTTAATGTTTACGACTTCCAGTAGAAAAAAAATGCTACGAGATAAGCGAGTAAACAAGATCATTTTCATGTATCAATATCGGTTATTTCCCTATGTTACTTACGTCTGCGGTACCAGGAGGAGGTGGCACGTTGAAGCCAGGGAAGTCATATATTCTTTTTACGTCATATTGATCTTTATTTACGTTTGTAATGATCTCGCCTTCTTCTTTATTTATGTCACTTTCCGCTATTCCATCAGAATTGAAGAGCGACAAACCAGAATGTTGCAAGCGTGCTTCTTCCAACCACCCTGGAGGGTAGCCAAGTAATCTCATTCTAAGAAAAAACACGTTTTGGCACGTAGAATGAACCTCATTGGCCCATTAAATTGAAAATTATGAATTTTTCCTTCTCTTATTTTAATTTAATATTTAATTTCGTACAAACGTACTTGCGTTTGCAGCGACAAGAAGAGATCTCAAAATATTATCACATATAGACTCAAAAACAGCAAGCACGATATTGAGATTCTAAGAAATCTATTACTGACGACTAATAGAAATACATATGGAATATACCGACTTGAACAATATGAAAAAGCATTCTCCCAAATCCCAATAGATTATGTAATTATGTAATACCTATATATGTGTTTAGGTAGTTGATTGTCTTTCAGTCCAAGAGCCTTTCGTAGCTTTTGACTCAACTGACCAGGAACCATATGACTAAATCTTTGATCTTCACTCATATGATATCGGACTCCCGCACTGTATTTTGCAGCAAACTCTTTACGATTTTTATTGATATTGCTTTGATTTTTAGGCAACGAACAATCTCGCAAATTATGATTTCCCTTACAATTGAAACAATTTAATTTTGGCATTAAATCTTTTGGCGTCTCACGGTTTTCCTCAAATGTACTCTCATATTTCTAAGGTAAAACAATTATTGTTTAAAACAGCTGTGTAAAAACAGGATAACATTTACCCCTAAGCTAAAGTATATCAACAAGTATTGCGATATTCTTCAATTGGAGTAAGATATATTAACGATTATATACAAATATATACAAATATGCACAATAATAAAAAATAAATAATTAAGAAATAAATGTATAAAGAAAAGACAACGTTACCTGCCCATAAGTCGGAATATCCAAATCATTCTTTACATTCGGTCGTTTATCAATTGTAAACAGAGAATCTTGCGCATCGTCGCATTGTACACTGTCGTTCAGAGCGCTTTCATTTTCTACATCAAGCACTTCTTCATCTTTGTAATCGACTTCATCATCCCAAATTTCTAAAGTCAGATTTGATTCATTTACATCTTTCTTACAAGGGAGTTTCTTTCGCAGTAAAGCGCGCAAAAAGTCTTTTACTGGTTGCCGATATCGCCTGCAAATACACGAAATTCCCTAATCCATGAAGAATGTAGTTTAACGAATATATAATAATAATTACATTCGCACACGTTTAATATTTAACAATAAAACTACCGAT